TACTTGTCAGAGACAGCACGTTACAGAGGCATACATACGCGCACATGTATATGTTTACAACTACACATGCACATAAGCCAATACAGGATTGCGTGTGTACATGCATGGATGATACAGGCAGGCAGGCATGAATACAGATGCGCCTGAAACACACGCAAGTCCCACATTCACATGACCTACATGCATGGATGCGGTCATGCGTGCATGCATACATAAACACAAACGTGCGCATGTAGAGACGTATTGACTATTTTAACCATACATCCCTGCTCCCGCGGCGCACCAAATGTAGAGTTTACCATATATGCAGTATGAAAAGCATAGCGGCTCAGAGAACGCTTTGAAGCAGTGGCATGCAACGTGATACCAGAGAAAGTCGCCGGCTTGCTCCGAAACCCACATCCTTGTCTGGCCCGTGTTATTCTGCAATACGATTGTGGCGAGAAGTTCCTTAATGAAATTATAACATCAAATACCGCCAAACCCTCCAATTCTTCAGCTACTACATTACAGAGTCCTGGGGGCCACTCGAGACATCTGCTTGTAGGGTGTCTGTGCCACCCAAACCCTGGTAGATGAGGCTTGAGAAAAACGTATGGAAACCTGCAGCCCTAAACCCTATAGACACGAACCCCGAACGCTAAAGCCTCTAAGCCTCCAGTCCTGAACCCAGTAGAGCGCAGCGGAAGGTGCGCACTTCCAGAGCATTTTGCAGGCAGAAAAGGCCAGGTCCTCTCGAAGGATCACCTCCACCCTACACATGTGAACCTTAGTGTAGATCCATTGCCCTAAACCCTAAACCCTATTGTAGATCCATTGTGGAACTCTCTAAGTCTAGGGAACCTATTTTACCCATTACCTTGACTCTCCGATGCGGTACGCTTTTTCGGATGGCCTATTTGCAGTTGGCATCGCTAGGGTAACCAAAGAAAGTGGTTTACAGATCTCCCCTCGATCCCTAAATTTCATGTTTCTGTGGGCTTGGGACTGTTAGGATTGTGGGCGTTTGCGTTTCCGCTTTGGGTTTAGGGTTCGAGGCTTGGGGCCTCAATTAGGTGCGGTTTAGCGCTTAGGGGTTAGGATTTAGAGTTTAGGGTTTAAGGGCTTAGGGGTTTCCGCACACCGGAACCAAGGGACAAACGACAGACTTGGGCCAATACCACTCAGAAAAGTGCAAGGAGTCCTGACCTGGTCACTTGTGAAATCGTTTAAACCGACATATAGATGCCCCTGCCATACAGAACCTCGTTACAGCACATACAAAACCCCACACAAGATCTTATGGCACACTATGCCCTCTATGGTTCTGAAGCCCGATAAAACATTTCAGCCTTGAGCCTTCAAAAACCTAAGCCCTATACCTATAGGCTCCACAGTAGTTCCTCCTCTGCGGTTTATATTTCGGATATTGTATACAAGGCAATCCCAGAAAGGAACTGCAATGGAGCTTGTCGGTATAACCACCAAACGCCACCGGAAACCCGAAAACCAAACCCTAAACCCTAAACCCTAAACTCCTGAATTGCCGGAGGTTCGGATCACTCTCGCGAAGCAGGTGGAGGAGGCCGAGAAGCGCTACAAGGCAAAGCGGCTGACACCTGGGTTTCGGGTTTAGGGTTTGGGGTTTAGGGTTTGTAAGGGTTTAGGGGTTGGCGTTTAGCATACTTTAGTGGCCTTAGCGATGGTAGTCGTGGATGTTCAGTTTTCTATACCACAAGAAAATGCCAAATAAGTGTCAAATGTGGATCCCGACCACCAGTCTTATCCTACTTGAGAGACGGGTTAATGAGCCACAGGCTGAAAACGTGGGTTTGCATAGCCGAATAATCAGTGCGAGTATCCCCTGAGGGTTCGCCATAATGAATGCCACACTAAGTACTGTATAGCATGCTCCCAAGCCTTATTCTGGTGGTTGAGGCCTGTTTTTTCTCAGGGACATTTTGCACTTAACTCTCGATCTTCCAATATTTTAACATAGAGCCGTGAAGCATTCTGGTTTCTTGCATCATTGCATCGGGTAGATAGGATTTGGTAATTCTTCATGTGTTGGTTCTGGGTCTGTCTAGTCCTAGTTTGCAGCAGTCGTGAATTAATGTCAGCCCTTAATCCGTGACATAATCCAAACCATATTGCAGAACTCGATGCTGAAGTTGGGCTTCTCTTGAGTCTTTGGACAACGCACTTTTCCACCGTAATCCGTAGAGGAGATGCGATGCAGTACGGTTGTAGGTACACTCCTTAACCCCTTGACCGCAGGGCTTTGGGCTCTTTGGGTAAAGAGCCTTAGCCGTTAAACCCAAAACCTCGAAGCCGCTGTACAAATGCTGTGAGGGTTTAGGGTTTAGGGTAGAAGATAGATCGATGAAACCATACTGTTAGAGGCACTTCAGAGAGACCTCGTTCAAAAGGGTAGAAGATGTCTTTTGAAGTATCCTGTGCTGCTGCAGGACTTATGGTTGGATTCAATTTGTCAGTTATGGGTGTGACTGCATGAGCTATGGACGAGTATGGTCGCCTTGCAGTCTGCGAACAAGGTTAAGGCCTAGTTACTTGTTGTCATACCTTCTGTCTTTGTTGAGCTGCTGGAGTTGCCGCACGCCTGGAGTATGAGCCCTGGCCACTTCGGGTGGTAACCTGGTAGCTTGTGCTAAGTACTCGTTATCGCGCGTGGTGTGGTTCCTTCAATACTCAATCATGGTCCCTGCAAACTTTTTAAGCACAGTTCTGAGACCTGTTATGAAGCCATGCTGCCCTGTGCGAGGGTGAGAGTCGAGGCCCCAAAGCCTCAAAACCTTACACCCCAACCAATCCCCGAGTTCCCGAGCACCAGCCCTCTTTGCAGGTTCCTGAGGTGACCTTTAAACCCTAAGCCCTAAACCCTAAGTGTGTACGTTCCTTGTTGGGGGCTTCCAGGCTCAACGCTGGGATGCCCTGAAAAGCGCAATGGACAGGCGCCAGCACCTTTTGAGTCTAGGGTGTCATTTCGTTGCTGTAAGGATTCCTATGAAGGATGAGTGTGTGTGTGTGTGTGTGTTTAGATATGTGTATACCTATATTTTTATATATACATATATATATATATATATACATATGTATGTGTTCTTTTTGAGTTACAGGGACAGAGACAGAGAGAGAGAGAGAGAGGGATATGGAGGTTTTGGGCGGGTGGTTTTAGAAGTTGGGGCATCGAGGCTTTACATCGGGTTTTTGTTTTGTGGATGGTAGCGCTGGATGCAACAGGGATGCAGAGTGTACGGGGCCCTTTTTACTACAGGCTCCACCTGAGACTTACAGAGCGACCGCCCTGAGGTGGCTAAGCAGCTGTAACAGGTGGTAGTCCTTTAGGGCTCCTTAAAGGGATCTATAAGTGTCTCTATAAGGGTACTATAAGGGCTCTATATTTATGTGGGTAGTTCTCTAAATTAGGGTCCCTTAGGAAATGAAGGTTCCTTGTGTCGAGGCAGAGCTCCCATGGTTTCAGGAATTTTCCGGCACCCAGAATGAGACTGTGCTGTCCGCAACAGCATCTCAAATTTTTGTTGTGAAGAAGTTCCCCAAAAAACTCTAAACAAATACGGATCCATAACCCTGCTTGCGGAAGGTAGGGTTTGGGGTTTAGGGTCTCGTGAGTAGGTTGGAACTGGGCTTAAGGCATGCTGGTTAGTCTGGATACGGTGCGGTTTTGTGGACCAGTCGTCCCAAAGCCTTGCCTGCTTCGGGGAAAGCGAGAGCCATAGAAACTTATTAAGCGCAACCACAAGAAAGACTGCAGCAACAGTCACAAGCACAGTGTCGCTGCGAACCCCGAACCCCCAACCCCAAGCCCTGTAACCCTAAAGCTCAGACCACCAGAATGCAAAATGAAATCCCAAACTCGAAACTACGGTTGAGTTCGTCAGGAGAGGAAACCAGACGCCAGTCATTTATGCATGGATTTCAGAACGATAGTCAGAACTGCATATATGCTTGGGTGACAGGGTGCCCGAGGAAGGCAGAGCATGACTTTGGCATGTGCTCTTTCAACTTGTGCTGCATGGGGTGTTGAAGTAGCCCCTTTCGGAAGCATGCGGACAGTGAGAGCGAAGTTTGGTCGTGAGGAGAAGAATTTTCAGGTGTCACGGTCTCCAGGTGGATACACTCGTGATGTCATGGGCCTAGAGGCCCGTTGTCCCTTGTCCCTAGTCAAAATGCGCTAGGTCTGGCTAATGTGCCTTCGTCGTCGGGCTCGGTACCTCGCCTGGCTGTGCCAAGCTGTGACTTGAGAACCCTCTCGGCTCTATAAGCCCTGTAAGTCCCTTAACCCTAAACCCTAAAACAAAAACCCTAGACCCTCTATCAACAACCCAAAACCCAAAACCCTAAACTATCTAACAACCCTAACCCCAAAACCCTAAACTATATCAACAACCCGAAACCCAAAACCCTAAACTATTTCAAAAACCCTAAACCCTAAGCCCGAAAGCCTTTTCGACCCTAAAGCCAGACCCCAAAACACAGACCCCACATCTTCTTGGCAGGTTGAAAGATGTCCAGTTGCAGGAGACGTTTGAACGGCTTCAGGGTTTAGGGTATAGGGAACTCAAGATGTATATCTGAAAGAGCAAGAAAGCTAAGGGTATTCCTGTGCCTCTGAAGCTCTCTTACAGCGGATTTAGGTCGTTAGGATTCATGGTTCCTGCATGGGGTGGGGCGTTCTCGTACTTACTTCTGTAATGAGGTGCCGTAGGTCTAGTTGTATTTTCTGACAGTGTCGTGCTGGTATCTTTTGCTGTGGAGTCGTGTGCTCACACCGGACGGTTGTTCCCAGATCGTGGAGAGTTTGGGTCAAACTTGCCCGGTAGATGCTCAAGTTGTTTTAACATCGATGGGACCCTTGTGCATCGACTGCTCAGGAACTCGATGCTTGCAACTGCAGCTCTTTGGCAAATTATGCCCTTGCACGTTTTGTAGCAAGCATGAGGAAGACCTGGTAAGTAGTCTGAGAAGGCTTCGTGGCCTGCATGTCGGTGCTCGTTGAGCATGCAGCTGACTCTCCGTGGCGGTCGATGGAGCACATGGTGCGCGTGATTCTCTCTGGCAGGGGGCAGTCCGAAGCCGTTTCGCGGCCGAACGTAATATAGGGGTTTTAATAATTAGAATCGCGTTTTGGAGGATGTTATACTAAAGTTATATAGTTAGGATAGTATTGGTAAATATTTCGGCAAGTTTTGAGTACTTTTGATCATTTTTTGATTTCGTCGATAGCACCCGGATCAATCATACCGAGAATCGAAAGCATCCTAAGCTTCATAAATTAGACCCTTGGCACGAGGTGGCGCTAACGAGGAGTAGATATTAAACATGCCGGTCCCTGTCTCTGCTTTCATACAGACATACGTACATACATGCA